AGTGAGGGGCATTCCAATCCTGGGGGCAACCTGGGACTTCTGGGTGAGGAAATGGTGAGCTAGGACTTCTACGGCCAAGATGTCTAACCAGAATGTCTCCCGATAAGGAGACAATGAGAGATCGCCTACTTGTGCTCCGGTCACAAGGCTGCCCTGTTCTTCCCTCATCCAAGGCAGACAGCGTTGGATGGGTATGTGAGTTATCCAAATCTGTTCTATAATAGTTTGTTTCTTTTTGATAGGAGAATTATTCTTATTGTCTCTTGTTCATCCTCTATCCTTCATTTCCATTGGAGGATTTTGGATTTCATTATTATGAGACTTGGAGGAAAACAGGAGTTTGTCCCCTACTTCATTTACTCTAATTTATTTATTTAAGGTGTTTTCCTACGGCTTAATTGAACCAGATGCTGAATATATGGTCCTTGGGATAAAAAAAAACAAAAACAACCCCTCAGTGCAGTGACCTTCCAAATTTCCTTGAACTTATATTCCACAGATGGTTTGAGTTGATAAAGAAATCCTCAAACCCATTAAGATGGGGAGGTCACATATTGCTGGGTTAAGTCTCCCCCACCTGTACACCCTCCGCCAGCCTCTCTTGGCGAAGGCCACGCCAGCCACTATGCACCCTCCGTGTCCCATGAGGTGCCTCTCATGCATACCCTCCCACCCTCGTACACCCTCTCTGACTTGTGATGTCACATACCAACTCACACCCTTGAACATGCTCCCTGATCCACACCTCTTGCACACGCCTTCACACCCCAGTGTACTCTCTCTGAACTGTGACATGCCTCTTGCATATCACCTAGCACTTTCACACACCCTGCCTGGCCCGTGCCTCTCACACACTCCCTCACACTCTTATGCACCCTTCCTGACCTGCTCTGCACCTCTTGTGCCCAACCTTGCACACTTGCATATCCTTCTTCACCTGTGCTACATACCTCACTCACCCCCTTGCACCCTCCCAGACACACACCGCACTATTTGCACACCTCCTCAGATCTTTGCAAACCTCCCTGGCCCTTGCCATGCCTATTGCAGTCCCCCTTGAACCCTCATGAAACTTTCCCACTGACACCGCACCTCTCCTGCACCCCATTCCCAACTCTCCCTTGTACTCCCTCACTCCCTCCCTGAGCTGGCAGCAGTCTCTTACCTGTCTGCTGGCCTGGGACTAGCAACTTCCTGCCGGCTTCCCCACTGATTTGATTGTGGGTTGTGATTGAAAAGCTGACAGGAAGTTGCTTTGCCTAACTACCATGGGATTTGGTTAATGACAACAACTGGACTGCAGGGATTGCTTTATGGCCGCATCACTTAGCGATGGGAATTCCAGTCACAATTGCCGTCATAAATCGAGGACTATCTGTATGGGGAATTCCTCATAAGCTTCAAGACAGGCATTTTTATTTCTTAGTACCTAGGAGAAAGGGGAGGGTATTTGTATTTCAGTAAATACAAATCTAGCATT